AGCAGGAGGTGCTGCTTACAGGTATTTAACCCCAGCCTGAATGATGGGATCAGCGGTGCCATCGGCGAATTTGTTCCAGCTATCCACGGTGCCCACGGCTACCTTGGGGAACTGGTTCTGCACTTGCTGAATCAGGCTCAAAAGCTGTTGAGCCGTAAGACTCTTGCGGTAGAGGACTTCAGAGCCGACAGTGATTGCGCTGACAACGTTTTCATTGCCAGGCACAGACTGCTTCAGAGCATTAAGATCGTTGTTGAAGGAATCAGTGTAGTCGGCCCTAGTCGAATGTATGGGTTAGCGACCCGCTGATACAAATTCTTTGACGGTCACACAAGCGAGTACGTACCACATGCCCAAGACGACCTTGAATCCCTTGTTTTTGGCGGCAGGAATGATATTCTGGGCGGTGTTGCAGTCACTGGCAGAATAGATACGGACGATTTTAGTCACACTCTTGAGTGCCTCGAAATCAGCCTCGTAGTCACCGGTGGCCTTGCAGCTGCCGTCTGCGTTCTTGTTGCCAAGAGCAAGCCCCAGAGTGCCGGCCGCAGTAACAGCGGGGATGGTGGCCAGCAAGGCAGGCAGCAAGCTAACGATACGCATTCTCAAACAGAACGGTAGGATGAATGATTCCTATGGACAGCGAAATGACGAGCGGTTGCAGAGTAGTAGAATGTCAGGACGAAGTGCAGAAGAACAGGAAGTATCCTTTTTTTTTCAACTTTTTTGGCAAAGGATGCAAGACAAGAAAGAAAGGAGGGCGTCTATAAAAAGAATGAGCGCCAGGTGAAAGCACACACACACAAATAGCAACAAGTTGGGGAGGGGGGATGGATCAAAGGGGAGGGATTGACCGAGTTATTATAAGAACACAAAGCACTGTGCAGTACGTCAGGGAACACACAGTGCAGTTAAGCGATTCAACTGATGAGAGCAAACAACCGTGGACCCTCCAGCTGGTTGGTGTGAGGCAAATTCATGCATTCACATTGCGGCAAACCTCCAATAAGGGATAGAGGATCAGTCTGCTACTACCAATAAGTAGGAAAAGATTGGTCCTGTCGGAAACCCACAGTGCGTTGTGTAATGAGGGTGGATGTGGCATCCATTTGACGGCCAGAATGGAAAGAAAACTATGGGTGGACCTTTGCACTGGGAGGGGTTTCCTGGGGAGTCTGGAGGATGAACAGGGTCCGCTTCCTGCTTCGGGGACTCCGCAAGCCTTACTCAAAGCCGCCAAGCGCCCGTTAATCCCTGGACGTCCTTGCGCTCGATTCTTGAATTGGGGTTCTGTCGGCTGTAGCCTCCGCCGATCCGCCACCAAACGCTAGGGCCTAGACTTGGATCTGAACCCTTTGAGGGATGTAGACGACTGAACCGGTCTCTCCCACTTCACTGTGATGCAATCAGGCTGATTGACTTAATTTCCTACCACCCCTAAAACAACAATCGTTCACACCCATTAGAGTTCTGATTTGATGATCAAATACAATTTCCGCCCATTCAACTAGGTTGATTAAATCGGGCACTCATATTGAGGCATCTCAAAGTATGACACGGCCAATTAATGAATTCCCATTCAACCAATACTACCAATTGTTCCCGTCGGATGTCAGTCAGATGGATCGTCTGGTGAGTCTTTGTCTTACTGGAGGGCCGAGAACGTGGACAACCGAGAACATTGTGCTTCAACATTGGTTCAACCACAATGCAGAGAGGGTCATTCCACTCTCAAGTGATGTCACGACAACCACTTCGAACGCATACGCACATTGGCGCGAACCTTGGAGGGACACTATCTGGGTAGTCGAGACATCTTGGAAAGCCGAACTGGACCTCAAAAAGAAATCCCGCAACAACATGTTCGTCGGTTCCAGCCCCGGCAGCTTCCGTCGCCGACATTGCAGGCCTTTGATTCGAAGGCGCTGGCGCGGGAGTGGGTGGTGGGCTGCCTTTGATGACTGACTGCGCTTATTCAGAGCAATGGTGTCGGAGTATCCTCCGACCTTCAAATGGAACTGAATTTCATACCACCCCGCTACGTATCAATTCAGTGAAACGACGTTCCTCGACACACAGATATCGACAATAGCTAGTTGCTATTGACCGTTGACATTAACTATTGAGAATTCTTGGTGAATGCAGAAAGTCATCGCTATGCTCCAGAATCGATCAAGTCGGGAGCAGCTGGTCTTGAGAGTACTAGATCTCTCTCAAGATGTTCTTTCAAGCTGTGATGAAAGCCATGACAAACATGAAATCCGCCAGGTCTGGCACGTCCGAGCCACTGATCTCTGATGGGAGGCTCTTGATTATTACGAGGTCCCAGAAATGTACGAGTCCCTCGACGCTCATACGGTTCTAGGCCACCATAACAATTTTTAGATCCCTTATGTTTATCCGAATCTGAAGTCCTGGGGGTCCTGGAGGCCCTGGAGGCCCCGGAGGTCCTTGAGATCCTTGAGGAGGCGGGCCCCTGGCTCTGGTTGACGGGATTCTCTAGGAACTAGGAGTCAGGGAATAAGCTTGCTGTATCTGGTATCCCATATGAGTTAATGAGCTCCCAACTTACGACGTCCGTCTCCGAGAGGTCAAATTCGCCCTCCTCGCCCAGCATTGTGTCTCTGTCTCTACTCCAAAACTCAAAGTCAGCTGCTAGGAAACATACAGGCAAAATAGCCTGGAAACAGAGCTTCTCATCTATCTCACTACTCGACGACCGCGGGTTATTAACTCGACATAGAGTCTACCCAGCAAGAAAGACCAGAGCGGAAACCGGTGAAGCTCTCCATCTATAATATAGAGAGGCATGGTCAAAGGTACAGTCGTACCCGGGGACAAGTTCTCAATACCTGAATTTAAGGCCCAGAGTATCCACGCGCGAAGAAACCCAAGAGGATTTGAGAGGCTTTTATGAAGGCCGGTTCAGCCTCACATCTACACCGCATCTTCGATAACGTAGTAAGTTCTGCTATACCGAGGTACTTCATCTAAGTATCTGCGATGTCTTATCATTGTGTTCAATCATCCATTTCGCAAGGCATGTTCATTCGTCTTCACCTAAAACATGCATGGCATTTTGTCTGACCGTATGAAGTAGCTCCTGTATGTGGCGCAGTATTGGAGATCTCAGGAAGTATATTCGTAATAACTCGAACTTATCGATAAAAATTCTCTGACATTTAGGAACTTCAATCGATTCGGTAGAGTAAATACGAATAAATCTAGCATAGAGAGCTTGCTTAAGGTTATGTGTGTATAGTTCTAGAATACCTCCAGGGGACTAGCGCCGGCTGGATGGAGAGGTGGTCCGAGCGTCTCGAATTCCCAGCACAGCACAGAGACCACCTTGCGCGTCCCGAAGTCCAACAACGACTACACCGTCTCGGGCCCAACCCTCCACAAACAACCCACGATTCCCTGTCAGGGCTTGAATACCTACACCTCGGACCTTCTCAATCCAGGCGGCAAACGACAAGATTAAATCGCCCACCATGCGCTTCTCCGCGACGACCCTGTTGATCACCGCGCTGGGATGGATCAGCGCCGTGACCGCACACAACATCCAGCTCAAGGCTCACTCCCGAGAATGCTTCCACGAGTCGCTGCACAAGGACGATAAGATGACGGTCACGTTTCAGGTCGGCGACCGGGAGTTTGGTGGCAGTGGCAACCTGGAGATCGATTTCTGGGTATGGCTTTTACTCTTCGTGACTTCGGGGCACGACGGCCGGTCCTCCGCCGTCGGGGACGAGAGGGATAGGGACTGTTTTGAACAGACCTGGGAATGCCCGCAGGTCCTGTGGTGGACTTGATTCTTCGGAGCTAATGCTGATATACTTTTTTGTCACCATTAGGTTGAGGACCCCTTGAACAACCGCCAGTACTACAAGCACGCCATCTCGTCGGAGGACTACTCGTTTAACGCCCACGCGGACGGGAAATACGTTTACTGCTTCAGCAACGAGGGATGGTCGTCCAACTCCAAGGAGGTGTCTTTCAACGTCCATGGCATCGTGTACGTTCCGGAACACGAAATGGCGCAGGACCCTCTGGAGACAGAAGGTAGGAGGAATCTATGTCGCATTCGGACTTGCACGTCCATCGGAGGAACAGGAACCCCCGTGAGCTAACCGCCTATGCTAGTCCGCAAACTGTCCGAGGCCCTGGCTCAAGTCAAGGATGAGCAGTCGTACATTGTCGTGAGAGAACGGGTACACCGGAACACCGCCGAGAGCACCAACGCCCGGGTGAAGTGGTGGAGTATCTTCCAGCTGGCTGTGCTGATCGGAGAGGGTGTCTTCCAGGTGTGGTGGTTGAAGAGATTCTTCGAGGTAGGTCCAAGCCTGTTTGTCTGGTCGAAGAGGTCCATCTAACAACCGTATGCGGTACACAGGTTAAGCGTGTGGTTTAATGCGATGTATTTACGATCGGATTCTTCGAAGGATGTCTTATCATAGCATTTCCTGCAGGAGCGCCGGGCTTCTACCATGTTATTTCCATATCACTTTTCCCTCCATCAAAATAGATCATCTGGATGATACTTTTGCTCTGAGGTATAGGGACTTCTTTCATAAATCCAGATTAGCAGACTCTACTTTCGACCCTCCTAGAACAACAATAAACAAGAAAACTCCGATGCCAATATGCAGCAGTCACGACCTAACCCACCACCGAAATAACCACCAAGCCCAATAGCAGCTACAGAAATAGACCAAACCTCACACAACGCGTCCTCAAACACCTCACCCGTACTTTTGTTGCTAACAAACACAACCAAAGGTCGACTGGTGGTATGGGAAACCCCGCACGACCAACCCTCCCAAAATAAACACCTACCAAAAAAACTACCCGGTGACACCCTTCCTCTACTCTCCTCCGTACCTCCCGATGATATCGAATCCACACCCACCTAAAGCTCACACGACCCTCCCTCCATCTCTCCATTCAAATAAAGCCTGAGGCATTTTCAAGTGCCGTCCCCATTGGCCATAATAGCCATGGCCACCAACTCAACCATCCATCAACCCCACCCCCTCGATACCCCCGACGACCATCTCTTCTATCTATGCTGGCGCCGCCAGTCATGTGACTACTGTCTACAGGGCGATCTCCCCTGTGGCTGGTGCGCTATTGTAAGTTCTTTCTTTTGTGCCACTCGCCACTCGGTACGGTGCTATGCTGTACTGTGCATATGCTTGGCTACACTCTCCCCATCAAACCCATCCATCTTCCGGGTTCTGCCTGGTGCCGTTCAGCGGATCACTAACACACATGAAAAGTCCTCAGCCTGCGTGCCCAATCCCGCCAGGGTGCCGATTCTGGCCCCCTTCAGCTCATCCGGAATCTGTCCTTTGGGTGCCAAGGAGCGGTGGGAGCTGAGGGCGCTGCCGTTCGGGTGTCATGTTAGCACCATTACGTTCCTCACGGGCGTCGGGGGGGTGCTAGGGACGTTGGCGGCGTTTGGGCTTGTGGCTTTTCTGGCGTGGGCGGGGAAGAGGGTGGTTGGGTGGTTGAAGGAGACGAAGGCTTGTAGTTTTGGGGGTAGCGAGGCTAGTAGTGAAAATCAGGGTGCTGATTGGGGAAGTGGTGGTGGTTTGGGGGGTTTGAGGTGGCGGTTGGGGTTTTCCTGGGCGAGGAGGGGTGGTGGTTTGTCTGGTTTAGGGGATGAGGAGGATGAGTTGCGGGGTGGTGGTGGTGATGATGAGAGGAGGCCTTTGCTTGGGGGGTTGGGCTAGGTCCCTGCCTGGTATTCTCCGGGGTGGGGGCTATATAAGCTGAGCTAGGCATTATTGTATCGTGCTATCTTGACTAGGTTTGATGTATCTATGGATTATGAGGTTTGACGCTGTTGTCTATTCAGGGAGAATGTTATATACACTTTTGTGAAGCTACTCGAACTGTGTGCATGATTCCATGAACAGCTAGGGACGGGAGTCGAAACCTCTCTATCCCTGGAGGACCTGGCTGACCCGGTACTCGACCACAGGCGGCTTGCCCTTCTCGATGTTGAAACGTCCCTGGGCGACGAAGACGCGGGTTTCAAGGTCCTTGTAGCGCGCGCTGCCCGTCTATTCATCTGTGTTAGGGTGACGATCCTGCAACCCTTCTCAACAACAAAACATACCTCGAAAGTGAAATGGGTGACTGTGATATGCTATGATCAGTGATCGCCATACCCTCGAGAGATCGGTATAAACTCACAAGCATTGCCAAAAGGCGTCGACCCATCCTCAGCGGTGCCCGCAAAGACAGCCTGAACCTCCGGGACCAGCGTAACAACACCGGTGTAATTCAAGTAGATGAGCTAGTTTGACATTAGTAGCTTGTCAGATTCCCACTTCCGACCTACTATCTTGGACGGCGAAGCTACATACATCGGTGTCATCCTGAGGTCTGATGTCAGGGTCAGTATGGTTCACACAACGGCTGTGTCAAGGTCAAGGAGGGCAGTCACATACTTAGCAACCGCATGGGCGTTCAGACGCAAGTGCTTGCCGTCAGCATCCGCGTGGATGTAGTCGTTTCCGATACCGACAAACTCAGCATCGAGAGCGGGGGAGAAGCCAGGCTCGCTCTTGATGGTGCCGCCGGTCATGGGCTGGTGTCATGATTGTGTCCAACGTTTAGCACGACGCCCGATCCCTTTGACACGAGAAGCCAATGGAGCTGCTTACCACGACCTGAAGGCTGTTCTGCCGGGAGGCGCTGCCTTTTGGCACAATTAGCTTTGTTTTAGGCTGGCTTCGTGAGGAGGGGGAAATCGCTTACCGACGCCTAGTGGCGCATCGATGACGACCTGTCGCGTGAGACATTGTTTAGATCGTGTTGGTTGAAGGGCTATGTTTGGGGGAGGGGAATCACCTGGATCGTAAAGGCGGGTTGGAGGGTAGGGTAGCCAGACATGGTGTATTGTATGTTATATCACTTGATGAGAGTAAACTGGGAATGTGAAGGCAGGTTGTAGATGAGCGTCGGTGCTGCGCGGCGGAAGCTCGGAGTGAGCAGTGCCCCGCACTCGCTGGAGGGGGCAGATCGCCCTTCAGAGTGGCTCATCCCCCATGCAGCTCTAGACTAATGTTTACTTGGCTCTAATTGATCGGATGATTAGCTTGACTAAACTGATTTCCGTTGGTGTGTCACGACTATCTCCGTCAGTGTTAATGGTTATCGCTTGGAAAACCTCAAATGTGTTTTTGTTTACTCCGTTCTGGCAATTCGAAATATGCTCGCTCCAATTCTGCGCAGGCAGAAAAAAGGCAGCGGCTTGCTGAAACAGTGACTTGTCACACTCTTCTCACAGACACACAAATTGATCGCGGAAGTCCTAGTCTGGATCCATGATGATTAGGATGACCTATCAAGTTGCACCCTTGACTTGTGCACTTGACCACCACCTCAGATACTGCGTCTGATGAGGACCTTGCAAACCAGCAAGAGCCGCACTACGAACAACCAGGACATGCACAGTTCTACAATCCCATCTGAAGAAGCAGGCACGTGGTCGGATCAGTGAATCACACAGGCTACAGGTACCTTACATTAGGGTACATTCCGCAAGGGTCACACGCCTCCAGCTTGAAGTAAATGCATCCGCGCATACTTTAGTTCGAGGTTCTATAGCCACTACTAGGTCCGTTAGTGGTGGTGGTGGCCGTCTAACTAGCGGGCGGTGATCCCTCATATTACCATGAGTTGAAAAGAGACATATTTATAATGTGCAGACCAGCGCACACAGTCGCGATGCTGTTGATGGTTTTTTTTGCAGCAGTCGAAAGAGTGGGTCCCGGCCTGAGGCTATCCGAGGTTTACCTGACGCTTTCCCCGGTTGGGCTCTTTGGTGGTTTGCAGTGAACGGAGTGACGTGACGTTAGTCTCCAGCTTAGCCTAACGGGCGATCGATCAAGTCGAAATCTCAGTTTCTTTCAATCTAGGTATTATCATTGCTACCATAATTACAGGCTCACACTCTATTTTTTTTTCACCACTCCTCCGCCTATATCCATATCCTCTCTTAGCTCTATCTCTCAATGTTCATTCTTACTGACCGAGGTTGAGACCGGTTTCCCGCATCGTCGGGGCTTTCGTTCCTCCTTCTAGCTCATTCTCTCCCAATGATTCCGTCACAACTGCTTCCGGCGCTCTTCTTGCTTGCAACGTGCGCGTGCGCCTTTCCGCTCTCCGATCAACAACCGCTAGGCAACTCTGAGCTCTTGCATGCGCCTCAGCTCGAGCTGCAGGACGATGTTGACCCAGCCTCTAGAGGCCTTTCCGGCCGCTTCTTGCACATAACCGGTTTGTCCAAACCTTCTAGACACCAGGCAGGAGAGCGCGGTTCTGACTGAGGATAGACTTACATCCCGATGCATATTATGAATCCGGAGCGTCACCCGACAGGGCCTGTCATCGAGGAGACGGCTCGGCTGGATACTATGGAGCAGAAGGAACCGAATGCGACTCGCCTATCACTTTGATCAACGAAACATTCCGCTGGATCGAAAAAAACCTTAAGGGCAAGGTGGACTTCGTTATTTGGACTGGAGACTCGGCTCGCCACGACAACGACGAGAAGAATCCCCGGGAACCAGAGGAGGTGCTCGACTTGAATAAGCTGGTGGCGAAGAAGTTCGTGGAGACTTTCAAGGATGAACGGTCTGTGAAAGGTATCTCGATTCCGATTATTCCCACCTTCGGCAACAACGACATCATGCCTCACAACATCTTCAAGGCCGGCCCCAATCGATGGACAAAGCAATACAGAGAGATCTGGTCCAATTTCATACCCGAGCATCAGCTTCACAGCTTCGTCGAAGGTGGCTGGTTCATTTCCGAGGTGATTCCCGAGAAGCTGGCTGTGGTCAGCTTGAACACAATGTACTTCTTCGACTCGAATTCGGCCGTCGATGGCTGCGCTGCGCGATCCGAACCAGGTTACGAGCATATGGAATGGCTGCGGGTGCAGCTTGAAATGTTGCGCGGGAGGCACATGAAGGCTATTCTCATGGGACACGTTCCTCCTGCTCGGGCTGGCTCCAAGCGGAACTGGGATGAGTCCTGCTGGCAGAAGTATACCTTGTGGCTTCACCAGTTCCGGGACGTTGTGGTGGGCAGTGTCTATGGACACATGAATCTCGACCATTTCATGCTTCAGGATAGTCACAAGGTGGATATCGTCGAGGTCGACAAGTCTTTCGCGTATCTTGGCGGCGCTGGAGACCCAGATGAGCTGTCTACGAAATCCCGTTCCGATTACCTCTCCAATCTCAGGAAAGACTGGTCGAAATTGCCGTCTGTTCCAGCGGGCACGTCCAAAAGCTTTTCGATGGACGCTTGGTTCGACGATGATGACCTATCGGTCCAAGGGTCCAAGAAGAAGCAAAAAAAGCGCTTCTTGAAAAAAATCGGCGGACCCTTTGCAGAACGATACAGTGTCTCGTTGGTTTCTCCCAGCGTAGTACCGAACTATTTCCCGACTCTGCGAGTTGTGGAGTATAACATCACTGGATTGGAACATGCAGCCACTTGGGCCAAAACACCTTCCCACAGTAGCCTGGATAGCGTTTCGCCAGGAAAGCAGGATGACAGCCCGTTGTCTGAGACACAGGCACAGCAAAGCAAGAAGCCCCACTTCAGAATTCCAGGCCCTCCATCCAAATCCGCACCTCCGGGACCGGCGTACTCAAACCAAGCGCTTTCTTGGCTCGGCTACACTCAATACTTTGCGAACCTAACTAGAATCAATAGTCAGATGGCAAATCGCGGGGCAACAGGCGATGAAGCAGAAGAGGTTACTGGTTCGAAGCCCGACGATATATTCGCTTATGAAGTGGAGTACAATACTCGAGACGATAAGGTCTATAAGATGGATGACCTCACTGTACGCAGTTTCTTCAAACTTGCTTCACGAATGGCCAAGCGGAAAGCCCGCAAGGGCCAGTCGTCTTCTCTCGAATATGTGGATGAAGCCGACTTGGATGATCTCGACGCAAAGAATGACTACGATGACCAGGACATCGAAGCGGAGAAGAAAAAGAAGAAGAACCGTGTATGGAAGACATTCGTGACGAGGGCCTTCGTTGGCCTACTGAAAAGCAACGACATTGACGACATAAATTGACGGGATTGAGCGGCTCTTCACTCGATGAGTACCTAGAGATTATACGAGGGTACGGCCCTTGGGTGTCTTCTCTAATCTTTGGCTCATTTGAACGAATTATGGTGCATGTATATACCACATATGCTATTTGACTAATTTAACATTTGTATTTACTTGACAACCGGAAGATACCATGGCTGATGGCAAGCGATAGTGCTTGTAGCGGTCAGCAAGGCGGTGGCGGATCTGCCAGTGGGGTAACATCATGATCATCAATGATCATCCTTTCCTCTCAACCATAACCACACCTCTGGCTACATCAAAGAGGCGAACTTCTTCCTGTCTGTTGCCTGGTGGTGAAATTGTTCCCTCACAGCCCCAACTTAAGATGCACGGAAGACCCTAATGCCACGATTGACAGACAGCTGCCGACTGTCGTCATTCCAGCCGCCATCATCCCCCTCCCCACTAAAAAGCACGCGGGCGCTGAACTTCCCACGTTTTCCGTTCTACTAGTCGAACTGTCCTCAGTGGCGGTTTGCTCGGGCACAATGAGAATTTCACTACGATAGTCTGGCTCCGGTCGATTCCTCCCGGCTGCAATTGGCTTTAAAGCCCATGTGTCACTCTTGCTGCCGAGAGAGAGGCCGGCGACAGGCGATCCACCGTACTAATCCTATCTCATCGCCCCGGTTGGGCCAGGAGCTGCAAGGCAGGGAGACTCAGCACTTGGGCTCTGACACGTATCGGACTAGTTGATGCGCTGTCCTCCCGCCTCATGGCTTGGTCTTTTTGGGGGGACGGGAGCAGCCAACATGCCACTTTGTCTTTTTGCCAGTTTATCAATAATATGGGAATGGCAATTGGACTACTTTCAAGTATGATGCTGCTAATGCTACTAGCCATTCCTCCCATTCGTGCCCGATTCCCTCCGCCCTGGGGCGGAAAGAGTAACGAAGCGGGATTGACGCCTGATCAATGTTCTAGGTCTCGAGGATTTGACCTTACTCACTTACTATGTCCAGTGCCTGCCTCTATGGTGGAGTTTCGCCGCCCTTCACTTCACTTTAATTAGCACGCCCATGCCGCAGCGGGCTTCATCCACTTCGCTGCATCCTCAAAGACCCTCCATTCGGGCAAATAACTTGCCCTTGCATCATCGTCTCGCACAACAATTTATTACTGGCACAATCTCCCCAGTCTGCGCGCCTGCGAAGCAGCATCTGCTGATCCACTTCTTCAACGGTGGCTGATATCATCGATTCTTTGTACTCAATTGAATCTTCTGTCGATTATCCCTGTTATACAAAGTCTCCTTCATGCAATAGCATACTCGATCTTGATATCGACTAATATTGACCATACCCTCCTCCGCCATCGCAGGCAGCAAGCTGGCGGGGCGGTGCAGTCAATGCCTTGCTGCTTCTAGTTGCACGATGCATCGAGACTTGCTCCACGAATACAACAGCAGACTCGTTGGCCTTCGTCCCGTGGGCTACTCTTTCACTGTGCCTTGCGTTTCTAACATTTTTCTCCATTCATCCTTCCCTTGTTTCGTGCTTTTGGTTGCACCAATTCGTTCGTTGATCGGTTAGCATGATTTCATTCTATGCATGCATCCAACTTACCAATTTGAACTTGTAACAGATCACACTCTACTCTTCCCCTTTGAAAACTTGTCTTCTTGCTTCTCAAGCCACTCCTCACTGTACAGCAGCTCCTTCGTGCCACAATCTCCTCTAGGCGTACCTCATAAATAACTTGCATGTAACATATTTCTTTGGTCGGATATTGGCGGCATTCTGTTTTCGGCCACTTGATTCGGACGAATCGCACATCAATCCGTCATCTAAGGCTGCATATTGATATATACGCACCACTTGGGAACACAGGCATCAAGCGCACGAACTTTGAAGGGTGAAGAACCCCGCCATCACTAATTTAGCCGGACACCGAGAAACGCCGGACTAGTCGAGAGAGCCAATTTACATTTCAAGCGCCGAGCACGAGCATGGGCAGCTGCAGCATTTGCAGAGACTGATCGTGTCCTGAATATATTCTTTGCGTGCGCAGTCTAGGTAAGCATTGGCGCTTCCCTTGCTTTGTCTTTGCCACATGCAATCGCATTTGAGCGTTCATACATCAATGCATGGCAACCTTGGTGGATTTAACTAGTGTTTGCTACGTGATCTATCACGATTCGACCAATTCACGTTCCTGCGGTTTCCCTCAACTGTACATGCCAAGTCAATCACTTGAATATGGATGCAGCTAATGCGACTGGCGCAAGCCTCCCGATAGACACCGAGTCATTGGTTTTGTGGATGGCTTCCTCCGAGGTAGACCAGAAGGCCTTGGGCAACTTTGCGGCCACAACAAGTTTGGAGAATCCATTTCTGTCCGCTATGCTCTACAAGTTACTGGGCTTGTCGGTCATGCTTTCCAAGAAACTGCTCCGTGCACGACGCTTACGACGTCTCGATCCGACCCGTGAAACTAAGTCACTTCAGCTCTACTACCACATTATATGGCTTGCTCGCGAAGGTCTCCTCATTTTAGAGCAATGCGTTCTTCCGCGTGTACAGGTGTATGTGGAACTGAATATTCTCGCTTTCAAGCTGAGGGCTTCTTTCTATCACATTTTTGTATTGTTCCATAACCAACCTGCCATTCATGCACCGGGTATCCACAATCTGCCGAACAATGCAACCTTCGCCAACAGCACTGCAAAAGCAGATCTGGCAAACAAGCCCCCAGAATTGAGATACTCGTTCCAGCCAAGACCCGAAACGATTTCAGTCTCCAATGCATCGGCCGCAGCCCCGGACAATGCGCTGCGGCGCAGAGTCACACAGGCTCCTCCAGGCCTTGCTCCAATTCAGCCGCCTAAGTCAATGTCGGCTTTCCTCCTACCAGCGATTGATTACACCAAGACGGCTACGCAATGCTTTGACTATGCGGTACTGTTGGCGGAACGCGTTCTTCCGGGTTCGCATCCTCTGCGGCTATCGATCAAGCTCGAGTATGCCGCATACCTATATGACTGCCTGCATGACCCACTTGCCTGTCGACGAGTAGCGAAAAAGGCCATCGCGGATGTGTACAATGCGAAGGAGGGTATGGATGATGAGAGTTTTGAGGATGCCGCGGAGATTGTTGGGATACTAGGCAAGATGGTCAAACGTGTAAGGAAGGCGAGCACAGCAGGCAGTACGACTGTCGCTGAGACACCCAGAGATGAACAGTCCCGAAGCGAAGGATCCCGCACGCCGTCTTCTCGAACGACGGCCTTCTCTAGAGCCGCACCTTCAGTGAAACCGACGAGCGCTGAATCCCTGCTGCCTGCCGTGCCTGATCCGACAATGGTAAACCCTATCTGATTTCTGTTCTGATAAACTTGGACCTCTCCGGTCCTTGTTGTATACCTACTCATGATCTGTATATACTTGTTTCATGTGTTGGTTTAGATTCGATCGGTACTGGGGAAGGTTATCTGCTAATACGCTGCGTTATTTTTTTTTTTTTCATTACTTGTCTATAGGTTCACTGAATGTTGTGTATGAAGCAAATGATCTCGGGATGAATCTGTAGTGGATAACCATAGCAGTACGGAGCACGTAGCTCAGGGTGGATGCCTCAAGCGACAGCAGAAATCCTGCCTGAGGCGACCAGACCCCTTAAAGTTTGCGGGTGTTTGCACTTCCAGTCGTGACGTCCGAATTTCTCTTCCATACGACCTCCAAAATATCTGCCTGGAGCAATTGCCCGTTTCCTCCTCAATTTAACAACGTTATCATTCCCCAGAAGAACACAAGATGTCAGTTCTTTCAGCGTCACGTATCAATTAGTTGCAAGTCCAAACCGGTAATGACTTTTTACAAAGCACTTTCAAGCACAGACAAGATCATGGACCCTCGCTTACGTTAGGTACGACAGCCCCTCTCTCATAGTCCGACTTGGCAACATCCGCTTGCGAACCCGACGAGCTCGATTTTACGTTACGACCCGGTGGTCTTCTACGTCATTGCGTTGCTTGACTCCTGCACCTCCGGGAGCCTGAGGAAGACCTTTGGAAGTAACCGGACGGCCCTTTGTTGGCGAGTTCGCAAATCAAACGCTATCTTCCTTGTTCTTCTCCCCTGCAGCAGCGGTAATTGTGCTTCGGTCGTTGCTTCGGAGGCTTCAAATCTCAGGACGCGCGCTTCGCTCACCGACCGTCCGACCGCCCCGATTGATCGACAGTATCATCGCCCAAGAAACGAAGAGGGGAAAACCAGCATCCATCAATACGCCGTCAACCGCGCAAGACCCTGAGACCCGCAGAGGATTCCAATTTAGACGCAAGTCCGCCAGAGAAAAGACGATCCAGAAACCACCTACGAAGTCACACTCCATATACGTACTTGAATGTACCGCCCGGACCTTGCGCTAGAATTGTGAATCAGTCCATTTGATAATTATCTTTTTTCTCTTCGCTTCTGGTCCTATCCTTCCTTTTCTCCTTCGGCGATGAAGCTGCCGGATTGCGAAATTTCCAAATCACGCAAGATTCCCACCGACTATACTATCAGACATCGCGTCTTCGTGGATAGAGAAAGTCAGGCCTGCGCCCACAGGTCGCCGAGTTGTGTATGATGCGGTCGGGTTTCCAGAAACCTGGGGCCATTCCGTTTCTCGCTCTCTTGATCTTTTCGTTGCTGAGCCTGGTACCGTCATTGGCGAAGGAATGGGACTATCTTCTGCCTTTCGGGCACATTGGATATCTCCGCAGTGAACCTCGATGTACGAGCGTGCCCTTCCTCTTTCCGCTTCATCGCTTGTCGCAGTATTTCAGACTAATGTCTTCCGATTGTATAATTGCAGATGTTTCCCGGGATAAGGCTGGCTTGGTCGATGCGCGACCACGATTACGAATGGTGGGTGGACAACCAAGGCCGTGGTCATTGGAGGAAGATCGTTCGACGTACCTCGATCGGAAATCCCGGCCACGACGTCCGCTCACGGATGCGCCTCCCCGGAGCTCGTTTGAAGCGGCGGCAATCCTCGATAGTGATTCAATGACACATTCGGTTCAAGAGTCGTCGGTCTTCAGTCGCGGTGTACTTGCCTTCAAGGCATTGGTCACCCGGCAAACAGACGACCCGCAAGCCGTTCCTTCCTTTCTTTCTGACGGCGACGCCCCTTTAACGGATCAAACATCACCGCGCCTTGGTCCGCACCATGCAAACACCTCAGTCCGTCTGACGCCTCCGCATAACGAGGATTTTTACCTATTGGCATCTGGTGATGAAGGAGGAAGGCGTACGATGCTGGACACGACAAAACTTGTTGAAATGCCCAGGTGGTTCTTGTCATGTGTTCTGACCTCATGGCAGCAGGCCTGCCGTGTTGGTAACGACTATATAGAAACCGTCACAGGCCGCCAGGGGCTCCGAAATACCGCCGCAACAATATCTACTAATTGCTCGGAACTAATGGACTCGACTGGTTCCCCTCAGCCTCAGAATCCACGGAACGAATCTCATACGGAACATGCCGTGCCCCCAGCATTGGCATCAGACGAGACCCAGCAGCAGGCCGATGCGCAAAAACCATCTGCACGAACCCAAACAATCGATACGTCCGTGCAGGCCACTACCCCTCCGACCGCGACGTTGACTGCTACGGAGCAGTCCAAGGTTGTTGAACATCAAGCTGAACCTGAGCGGGTGCGCAGTGGCAGCTGCATGGCCATTGTGCTTGCAATAGTCGCTGGCGTCATGTGGTTCTAGTTCTGCTGGTACGTTTGCGATGAGTTCACCCCTGGATGGCAGTCGGCTCCCGTCATCGTGAACTCGGACGCACGAGTTCTAGATGCAGAAACGAGAAAAGCCAATCTCTTCGCAATTCGACATTGCGCACCCTTACCCTCCGCCATGAATGTCTGCCTCTGGTTTCGTTTCTCTTTTGCCGGCTGGGTCCGGCTCATGATTTTCTTTTCAAGTAGCTCCTTTTGAGCTTTATAATGCCTGATGTAATTCTTCTTTTGACGTGTACATTGCTTTCTCGATGGGTTTGCGGTCTGGGGTCTGGCATTTTGGGTTCCATGGATATACACTCGTTCTGTTCAGGTTCTGTTCACAAGGGCGGATGGCTGCACGGAATGGTCTGTCTTCCTGTGAATGGGACGGATTGTACCTAGCTCTTGCGGTAACTAAAGCCTGGCTGCTTTGATCTCTCGGTGTCGGAGAGGTAACTTATCAGCCCATAGTGATAATATATATAGTAATGTCTGTTATTTGGGGGTTCATGTCTTCCGTAGAAGATGTGTATGGTGTGAAATCCAAGCGCGCCACATGGAATGCCCGTTCGTCTTATACCTGCCAGTGGTTAGCTCCTGCGGACAATTGGAAGAATGGAGCAAGCCGGTATCTGGGATCCAGATCCTAAAAGGCTTTATGGCATTTTTAGCTGTAGTCCAGGTCCAGGACCTACGTAGTTACGACCTGTACATACCAACTCCCGGACCGCCGCGTTCCAGTCGTCTAGTCTCTTTCCTCCGCATTCCACTTACCCTGTCTCTCTCTACCTTGGACCATGAGTACGTAGTAAACAGAACCTCCTACCGACATCACAAAGAATGCCCGTGTTTCCCCTGTTTCCCCATGAAACTGACTAGAAACAACTAGCTCCCAATGTCTACATAACCAACGACCTTCCCCTAAGCCCCGATGTAGTTCAAACATCATAACCAGTCCGTTCTGCTTGATATACACACGAGACCTCCCCCCCCTCTCAACCCAGCCTCTTCCCAGTGTATTCCACCCAAAAATGAAACCAACAACCCTCCTCCTCACCACCCTCCTAGCCCTAGCCACCGGCACCCTCGCCGACAAAACCTGCACCCCGAGTTTCGATTACTGCGCCAATAAGCTGTTGAGTTCGAAGGGTTAGTTTTCTCCTCTCTGCCACTGCGATTGAGGGGATGCTTTGTTTCTATGCTTGTGGTTTTTCCCCCAGGATGCGGTTCTGTTCTTGGGCGTGAAGGGCAGCGGTGGAATGAAAGCTGTGGTATACAGTGCAAGAGTCACGATGCTAACGCTCTGGGTGGGTGCAGGATTCACGGAGAATGACCTCAAGACGGCACTGCAGGGGACGGGGCTGGAGAATGACGATCTAGCGGATATCTTGTTCCATTGCAAGAATCCGGGGGATGTGGGGCATGCGCAGCTGTGTCCGGGGGGTTGTAAGGATCCGGCGACGGAGGGGAGTCATGGATGTTCTGGGTGATTTTTCTTTTGTCTTGACTTGAGGGAGGGGGTGAGGGGTGGAGGATGGGAGAGGGTGTGTAGTGTAAGGTGAGGGTTGGGTGTATATGGCTGGGCTTGTTGTGGCGTGGTGGTGTTGCTATGCAATACGGAGAATACACTGTTCTATCTGGGGGATTATCAAGGTGGAATTGAGACTCTTGTTGCTTTTGGTGAATGCTATGCGTATAAGCTATACTTTTAGGCCAATGTATCAATTGAGCTAGAGGATATAGGACCCCTGAGACTGAAGGGAAGACCGCCGACTAGGGTGCGAGTATACAGGTTGCACTACCCTGACAGGCAAGCCACCTGCGATATTCATTCTGGATGTTGGGGTGCGCGCCAGGTATCGGACTTGGGTCTCAGGTTTCACAGTGGAATACGTTCGACAGCACTGATGATCAACTGCCCACTGTCTTGTCACCGCAATCGTCTGGAATGTCCATGAGGCTGTCCAGTGTCAGACATTTGCACGGGAGTTAGCTAAGACTGTAGCCCAGGCATTGTATGTGCCAAGTTGATCCAGGACAATGCGACGACAACGAGATCTGTAGCTCTGTAGTTGCCTGAAGGGTGGCTCGGCTCACGTCTCGTGCCATTGCTTTAACTCAAGGGTGCTGCGAAATCCGGCTGATAGCATGCAATAGCTGCTGAAGCAGCCATAACCGGTAGCATCATCGCTCGTCATGTATGCAAAGTTGCCAACATGACTGAATGAAATTGATGCATTTACGACTGCTTGTTCTCAGCCTCGGAAATCAGCGTCTCCATCTCCTGCTCGGTCCATCGGTGGAAAAGCTTCTTCGGATCGGAGAGAGACGCATCTCCCTTTACAGTCTGCACATGCAGAACTGGAACGTCAAAGTCGTAGACATCCTTCCAAGGCTTGTTGGTGGGAAGAGCAATGTCCGTCTCGGTATACTGGAAGGGACGTCGCTTGTGCAATTGAGTCACGGTATGTTTGGCTGTGTCGCAGAGCCCGCAGCCCGCACGGGTGAAGAGAGTGACGCGCACAGCGTTGGAGAGACGAACGGCAGTGGGAAACATGATTGACGCACAGCTACCAAGAATCGAACCGCTAAAGTTGAGGAAGAAAAGTATACGGAGAAGCGGAAGCGGACAACGGGCGGAACTTGGGGATGAACAATGGAACCTTCGAGCTTCCCGGGCTAAGCCTATTTGGGCCAGCCCTCCTGCTGCGGTTCTGCGTGCTTCGATGCGACAAACTCGCATTTCTCCTCACGGTGAGGGAAATTAGTCCTATTTCTCCCATCCCGAAGACAAGGCAGCCGGTTCTCTCTCAGTCTCCCCGTTCTATATTTCCATCACAACCATGGCCTCTAAGTGTGTCCACAAGGGCTGCGGGAAGGAGTTCACCGACCCCGAAGAGCCCTGCGTTTACCATCCCGGCCCGCCAGTGTTCCACGAAGGTCAAAAAGGTATGATATCCAGGGACCTTGTGGAAGATTTACGAACTTCCCTGGTTTGAGTCGTTCGTTATACTCCGGTCTTATACTTTTGAGGACCGGATCTCGACCTTCCCAGGCGCACCGCAGGACTAACCACGATCCAACAACCCAGGCTGGAAATGCTGCAAGCCCCGCGTTCTCACCTTCGATGAATTCCTCGCCATCCCCCCGTGCACCACGGGCAAACACTCTACCGTCGACGACACCCCTCAGCCTGCCCCGCAACCTATCGTCGAAGAGGCTCCTTTAGCCCCGGCCTCGACGCCGGTGGCGGAGCCTCCCCGCCATGCCATCTCGCCCGCCATCGCCCCTCCTTCCAATGCGCCTACTCCCGTTCCCGAAGAGCCCGAGTCCGACGACCCCGATCTCGAGATTCCGGCCAACGCCACCTGTCGCCGGAAGGGCTGCAACAAGGGTTATGATTCTGCCGTGGCGCGCGAGGACGAGAAATGCGTTTTCCACCCCGGCGCACCCATCTTCCACGAGGGCAGCAAGGGCTGGTCCTGCTGTAAGAAGCGGGTGCTCGAGTTCGATGAGTTCCTGAAGATCCAGGGCTGCACGGAGAAGACGAAGCATTTGTTTGTTGGAAAGGGCAAGCCCCCGGGTGAGGAGAAGGTAGACACGGTCAGGTGAGTGATCGCTCTCCACAAGCGTGCTACCCCAGGGCCGGAAGAGCTAGCTGCGTGACGGGAACTGCAGGGCTGACATGTTCATTTTCCTTTGGTCTCTACAGAAACGACTTCTACCAGACGCCATCCTCCGTCAACGTCTCTCTCTACCTGAAGAAGATCGACAAAGAGAACGCAAAGGTCCAGTTCACCGCCACATCCTTGGAGTTGGATCTTCCTACGACGGATAACAAGCGGTACAAGGATACCTATCAGCTGTTCGCGCCAATCGATGCCGAGAAGTCCCAGTTCCGTGTCATGGGGACTAAGCTGGAACTCACACTGGTTAAGGCGGACGGCACCAGCTGGCCGGTGCTGCGCAGCGACGATAAATGGACCGGAGAGCGCATCCAGGTCGGCAAGGCTGGTAGGGCTTGAGCATGTTTGGGGACGGACGGCACGGATTATGAAAATATAATATACCATCACGGGCTAAGAACCGATGAACCGACATATAATGGCATAAGAAACCATATGTAGCATGGAAATGAAATGATTGCTTTTGAGGAGACATGACAGCAGGAGACACAAGATGCATATTCCGTAGCTATGATGGTGTCAAGTGTCAAGCGTATGTTCAGCAACGGAAGTGTAAGGACTCCAAAGAGACCATCCAACCAAGCGCCTATAGTGCCGAGAATACTCTCTGCTTTCCAAGCATACAGTGCAGACATGCGACATTTATGTCGAACACCTCGCACCATGCAAGAATTTCACTACGATTACAGATACCCAAGCACCAACATGAAAGTGCTTGGGATTGAAATGTCACGCCTCCTCCACAGCTTATGCGCATGGGGATCTATTCTTGCGAGCAGAAACCCTAGCTAAGCCATAGTTTGTAAGGGAAAAAGGAATGCGTATGTTGCTCTTCAAGGCCGGGAACGGAGGAGAGACCCATAGAGAAAAATCCCACACAAGGTAACCCTCAGCAAGCCGTACGGTGACGGAGCCCCGATAAGATTTACATAACATAAAGTAAGTAAACCGCTACTGATGATGAAGAAAAAAAGAAAGAAAAACCATCAAAGTCGCGGCGGGCAGCGGCGGGCTTATGTAGTCCACGGCGGTGGAGCCACTAACTGGAGTCGGGACTAGTGGATTACCGAGAAGAGTTGATGTTAGGGCTGGGGTTAAGAGTAAGCACGTGATGCATGCTTGACATTGAGCACGTGATCTGTGGTGGGCGGCAGAATCACATGCTAAATCTGCTTTGGTTGTTGGGAAGGCGAGACCCGAAGCGGCTTAGATCAGTTACAGCAATGCGCAACCTGCTGCTGTACGTGTACTGTTCAATTTACACTTGTATCACTTCTAACCTCAGTGATATTGGTGGTCACCTGAAGGGAAGGCCTGGATCATATCTTGGGTTATACTCTGTTGCCTATTGTCGCGCAAGGATCATCGACATACTCTCTAAAGAACCAATTTGCCCCTCATCTTACTGCGTCATTGCACATGATCAAAGCGCAGTGTTTGGTCGCCTTTGGGCCTCAGGCTTGAAGCGTCGAGCGGAAAAAAAGGAGGGGCGTTCCAGGGCCCGCCGCCAAAAACCAATCAGTGGCAAGCTGGGCACGAGACCAGCAAACGCTCATCCACTTTGAACTTCCCCTTCTCCTTCTTTTCTCTACTACTACCTTAATCCTTAAACTCAACTCCCCCCTCGTGGCCACTCCCTCTTCGGTCTTGCTGCATCCTTCCTTCTACCCGCACTTGCTCGCTTCCAGAGTATCAATTGCCGGCCAATTTGTACTCCTGACCCTTGCGTGGGCTGGCGAGATCGTTCAACTAATCTACTCGACTCGGTATCAGGAGAAATTCCCCCAAGACCCGCTCTCCCGGGCTTGGCTGATTGGTACGGAAGTTCCTATATGTAATCGGTGTCCCTATTCTATCCTATAACATGAACATTCCACAAGACAAATCGCGACCCTCACAATCATCATCTATCCGACCGACCTGAACTGACATGCGCTTTGAAGTTACATAGAATACTAATATTAGCAACCCTGCGGTCGACCTGTCGCATACGCCCCTGACCACTTTTCTTTCACTTTCACTACCTCGTTTTATTATCCCCTTCGCTCCTTTTTCTTTTGATCTTTTCCTCATTCGCCATGACTCTGTGCCAGCAGAACGGGACGGCCCTGCGCTATATCCCCCTATCCTATAACCATGCCGACTCTCACGCGTCCGCGTTGCGGCTAATTCTCACACTCAACCCTGATTGGGAGGGGCCGGAGAACAAGATTGAATTCGTGCGGTTCACGGACGGCATCACCAATACTGTGTGTTTCTCGCAAAACCATGCTCTTCTCGCAGTTGCGACGAGGCCTGAAATGATCCACGTTGAGTGCCATGGACTAACGTGAGCGTCTAGCTACTCAAAATCATCAACCGAAAACCCGGTTTGACCGAGGAGCAGATAGATCACGATGCAGTACTGATGAGAGCGTACGGTAACCACACAGAGATTCTTATAGACCGCGAAAGTATGCTACATCGGGGAAAGGGGACTACTCCAGAAGCGACCCCCCTTTCTCTTCCTCCCTTCTTGCCCATTGCGACACCTTGCTGAGTAGAATTTCGAATCTATAGGAGAAACGAGCTCCCATGCTCTCCTCGCTAGTTATGGCCTAGCTCCTCCGCTTTTGGCCCGCTTCAAAAATGGCCTTCTGTATCGTTTTCTCCGTGGTCGGCCGGCGACCCACGAGGATCTGACGACGCCTCCAGTATGGCGCGGTGTTGCTAGACGCCTGGCGCAGTGGCATGCCGTCCTGCCCGTCGGTGGGACTCCTGCTACCTCGAAGGAATCCGAGAACGTACCCCTCACGCGACAAGTAGACGTCGACTCGGAAGACCATCCGCAACAGTCCAAGCAGGAAGGTAGCTTGTCCGTGGTAAAGACCAGGCAGCCTGGACCCAATATCTGGACCGTCACCCAGAAATGGATTCTTGCTCTGCCCACCGCAACGGAGGAGCAGCGTCAGCGGAGACTGAGTCTGCAGAAGGAGCTTGAACAAGTCGTGCGTGAA